ATGACACCACTTCCAATAAAGGTACTCAATGATGACTTCCGTATCAGATTAACAGCAAATATGATTTTTTTAGCTAGTATGTAGTTTATTTCGTATATTTATAAGCTGGTAACGCATTGATATGTACATCATATCACTCCTTGTTGTTATCTATATAAGGGTAAATTCAGTAAATAAATAAACTTCATCAGTGACCGCCCATTTGGGGTAGAGCTTTCTGTATAAAACTGAAGTCATGTGCTCTTCTGGTTGGTAGATAATGTTTGTAATAAATATTTTGATAAATAGAGTTGAAAAAAAAAATAAAAAGTAAATGCTGAATGTACTATTTTTTTTTACTACAGGGTTGAAAAGTAATGGAGATCAGTGGAGGAATTAAGTGCGAATCTTCAGTGTTTGTAAACAAGGTCATGTGAATGCCCAAAAAATGCCACATGACCCTATGTTTTTATTGTTGCAAAAGATACAATTGTACTTTCATGAATGATATATGAAATTTTCTAATTTCCAAAGGTAAATCAGGTATTAATTTAAATCAAGACATAGATTAGCATTAAAGTCAATAGGAGATTTTTTTACTGAATTTACCCCTATAGTGAATAATATAATCTTAACATTACAAAATAATTACTAGACGCCGTACAGAACACAAGTTGTTATTTTGCAATTTGCCGTACTACGTGATACAAAATGCCGTACAATAAACAAACACTATTTTGGTCATATTCATTTGAAAATATCTTTTTGATAGCGAATTTCAGTAAATATGAAGTCATACTATCATAATCTAATTATGTGTCTGTAAAAAATGAAAAAAACAATTGAGTATCATGCATGCGCATGCAAACGGGGCGACGAAGGGCGATTGACCTCAAACTTTTCTGGTACTGAGTGCACCGTTTTGGAGTACAACACAAAATTTTGTATTTGTTTGCTACATGTTGGTATAAAAAAATTATAGCTTTATATATCAGTAAATCGTTTCAGAAGCGATACCCTCATCAAACCGCTAGAAATGGTCTAAATAAAGGAATTCTAGACTTGTTTATTTATTTTTTCTTTTCTCTCCGCTTCGTTAGTTCCCAATTTCCGGTGGCGAAGATACACAGTGACACTATAAAATATCAATTGGAATGACTTAAATCAATCAAAAAACGTAGTTACACAAATTAACACACAATTAACGGATACATTTGATATGTGATACAATGTAAATACATAGTTAATAGAAATAAGGGATGAATAATTAAAATAAATGTATTAAACCACTGTGAAATGTTAAACAATTTTAGAAAAACCTCAACTTTAAAAAATATTACGTCATATTATACACAGGTAAATGAAAATAATTTTGTTGTTAAGTATACTTCTTCTGTCTATAAAATACCAAAAAATTTCTTGTATGTCAATTAAACTAATCTAAAACGTGGTACATGTGGGGTGAATATCAACAATAAAACTATATGATTGGTGCTCAATAAAACTTCGTGTTCTTCATGTACAGGTTTCAAAACAGTATTTAAGGAGAAAGGAAATAATTTTGATGTTTATAGTATGAAGAAGTGACAATTTGTAGTAATTCCAAACAATCAAAGCTGGTATATTGACCAGATACATGTTAACATCAAATAACAAAAAAAAAGCATTACAAATATATCAACAGAAGGTTCGATTTGAGAGTACTCGCAGTTACTGACAGCTAGTTAAAAGCCAGAACAATTAATAATAATAAATCATGCAACAGAGACTAAAATCAACTAAAAACATCCCAGGGATTTAGTATTTTAACGTCATGATCAGTTAAAGATGACATGACAAGTGCAATGCCAAAAATAAATGTATCGACAGGGAGTAGGATAGTTAGGAGTTTACATCTTTATAGATAAAAATAAACGTGTGTGTGTCTCTATACATCCCGTTTGAAAAAAAAACCACAAATTTAGTTATGTTTTAATTTGCTGATGACAAAATCGATATTAGTGCCAATGTAAACTATATTCAAAGATCTAATTACAACATTATTAATCAGTTTGTGTAAAGGTTCGATGAGTTTACACGGATCACATAGCGATTTCCGCGCTTTTAGTACAGTATTACCTTAAAATTTAGGATGTGAAATACCATTTTTAATAAGTTTTCTACAGGTACAGCCAAATTTACTAATCAAATCTTTGTATCTATGAAAGAATTTAGTAAAAAGTTTTAAGTAATTTATGGTAACGAAATCCCTGACTTAATGATTTACTAGTAATGCATTGATTACGTTCGTTAAAATCTATGATATCACTACACACACGGGCATACCGAACGAGTTGGGATATATATAAACACCGTATGATGGAGCCAAAGGGACATCATCGTCTAAAAAAAAAATAACAATAGGGTATGAAAAATTGTCTCTTTTGTCGTAAATTTTAGTATGGAGTTTCTCTTTAGAAATTGAAATGTCTAAATCTATAAAAGGACAACTACTGCTGTTTATGTTAGATTTAGTTAAAGTAAGTTCTTTTGTGTAATTTCGGTAGTATATTTAGAGAACTCTGGATTATTTAACGAAGAAATATCATCCAGATAACGGTAGGTAATTGTTGAATGTATTAACCAAATGTAACAATGACGTGTCTTTACTAATTTTGGTCATAAACTGAGATTCATAGCAATACAGGAATAAATCTGCTATTAAAGGGGCACATTTAGTGCCCATAGAAATACCTACTCCCTGTCGATACACTTTATCGCCGAAACGTACATATATGTTATCTAGGAGAAAATTTAAAGCTTCAATCATATTTTCACATTTCCAGTAAATGTATCTAGCATACTTTCCTTTTTCGTTACAGAAAAAGGCTTAAACGAGTTACAGCAAAAAAATTTGCAAATGAGATTTTTCAAAAGACCATTCTATTAAATATGAAAACTTTTTCTTGATTAGATTATGTGGAAGTGTAGTGTAGAGAGTAGAAAAAAATCATAACTGTCAACAGAATTAAAAGGACCATCAAAAGCAGGTATTTTCTCTAAAACCTCTAAAGAATTTTTAACACTCCAAAAATAATTAATACCATTATTTTCATAAGCTTTATTACAAAAGTTAATAACAAGTTCTTTGATAGTAGTAAGGGAGGTAGTCAAAAGCACTGATATATCAGTAGTAGAACACTTACTAGATGCGGAGATAAAACGGAATTTAAATTTTTTTTGGTGTAATTTTGGTAACCATTACCTAGTAGGGACTTTCAAATGTTCGGAAGAGGCTTTAACTGGGTAGTGGCAGTGATTTGCTTGTTAACCAATATGAATCTCTGATGAGCGTACGGACCTGAATGTAGAAGAATTGATATTGATCTTGAAATTAAATTGAATTCATCAGTCGTCTCGTCCGTCTGTACGTCCATCCATGTCACATTAGCACTTCTTGTAAGTCATTTTTGATGTTTTGTCATTGTTTTTCACAGTTTTTTCATGAGAATATATGCAAATAAGCGTATTGTGATCATACTTTCGAAAGTTATAGCTGTTAACAGTGTTTCTTGTATTTATTGTTATGTACCAAACCAAAATAGCTATTCACAAAAGATGGCAAAAAACCTCACCAAAGATACTAGATTAATGATTTGTGAAACCAGACGCATGTGAATGAATATTACATACCTTAAAATAACCGTATTGAGGAAATTACATATTTTCCTATGTATGGTTTAAAAACTTATATTTAAGGGAATAATATTTCACCCTAGTATCTCGTGCAAAATTCAAGCAAAACGGTCCTCTATCACTTTCGAGATATTATTTATCGGTTATTTTATTAGGACTACAAATGTGATAATTATTCCATTAATCAAACTGAAAAACTAGAACATGTATCAAGTCTCCATACTGTAATTGCATTAAATTCACAAAATCAGTGGTCTTTTGTATAAAACAAACAAAGATAACTATTCTCTTATATTAAATAAAACATGTATTAAAACACAATATTCATTTGTTACAATGAATATAGGAATACATTTCTTTATTTTCTATGATTAAAATAAACTCTTTTTTAATTACTTCACAAAATTCCATAAAATAGAAAACATTTGTTTATAAAGCGTTATCAATCGTTATAAACAATACTTGTCTTCAATTTCTCTTTCTTCAATAGTGTTCCAACTTTTTGTTTTGTAATTCGATTCGGCTTTCAATTGTTGACAGAGAAGCTTATTTAAGCGCAATTTAATAAAAAAAAATCTTGAGATAAAGAACACAATGTTCAAAAACGCATTTATTGTTTCAGATACGCTATATTACTTCATAAAGTGCAACGTATTGGTTGTTTTCATTGCATACTAATAATTATCTCCTTTCTCTATTCCAATCTATAGCTTTTGGTTCTACTAGATTATCTTCTTGTTGCAATAAGACCTTGCTATCCTTTCCGTCGCGTGTTATAAGTATTACATTGTTAGATTTGAATACCTGATACAAACACATCAAGGTTGCTAGCTTCAGCTAAACCAATAGGTTTGACAATAGATATATCTTGATAAACCCACATTTCCTCACCTACGGTATTCAGGCAGTGAATTGTGTTCTTATTTCTGTTGGTATAGCATGTATAGTATCTCCTGTCTTTAAAGACGACAATGTTTCGACTGTTTTCCATATCTATTGTCAGGGTGTCCAAAGCTTTACCTGATATATCGAGAACGACTATTCCAACTTTTTCAGCCATCATATAAAGTTTATCGTTCCAGTAAGATATTCCGTAACACTTTTGCATAAACAGGTCTTTCTTAGCAAATCCCTTTGTTTTGATCTTCTTTTCAACAACGCCTGTACTAACCTTTATAACATCCAACGTATTACTATGAAATCCATATGTAACAGCAATATGATCGGGGTCTATCATTGTTAAATCATAAGGACTTCTAGTTTTGATGCGCTTTGCATCTTTATCAGCGTCATTAAATGTCAGTAAAATGATAAAACCAAAACTATCGGCAATAACCATATCTCCGTTTGGTACCATACTACAACCGGTCACGATCATCTTCAAGTTAGCATTTTCTAATTTAAACGTTTGTTTAATTTGGAGTTCTTGCATAAGTGGCACAGAAATTTGCATTTGGGCTTGATTTGATTTTGGTTCCTAAAACTGCAAATTGGCATTTTTTTTAATTGATATGCTGCCTAGTTGACTAACTTTGTTTAAAAACAATGAAATACAAGCATCGAGTTCCATGTTTATTTCATATGCTTTTTCAATACTAGATATGGTCTTTAAGGAATAAATCTCTTTTTTAACCACGTTGCCTATTTCATGCGTTCCAAGAAATATTATTCATCCGACGCAATTTGTTTCAGGCTTTCTGTGTCCTTTTTTAACTTTGCTAACTTGTTGTCTGCTAAAATTAATTGCTTTATTATATTTGCGTATGCAGTTTTACAACACTCAGATTTTGTTGAAAGATCTACTGTAAGTTTCTGCTCCATATCATGTAAACGTTGATTCAATTTTTCGCGCATTTCCTTTTTGTATTTCTTAATATTTTCCTCTTGTGTATCGAATGCTTCAGCAGATAACTTCATAGCTTTGATATTTGTTTTTGTATCTTCAAGCGCCCAATTTATCGTATCTTCTAAATCGGCAAGGGCGGCGAATTGTTTGGCATGTGCAGAAGCTTCGATCAGTGGAATGACTTGAGAACAGGATTTATGGTGATCGACACAGGCGATACATAGAACAGTGTCGTGTGTAGTACAGTATAGATCGTAATGTTTTCCATGTTGCTTGCATTCTTGGCTTACAACCACATCTTTAATTCGTTGAAAATCAATAATGGAAATGATTTTTGGTAGATCTATGAAGTTTTTCACAGTCTTCACAAAGTCCTTCTTCACAATTTGTACACCATTGCCTTGCATCCTTGATAGTATCCCCATACTGGCATATACCACATAAAATCGCTGAAGTCATGAATAATTTCTGTAGACAAAAAATATACATGATAGGTCATATCGAGATAGAAATAAATATTTATAGTCACCTTATAACTAGGGCAAACGCATTTTTTTTTCACCAAACAATACAAACGAAGTGTTCCTTTATCATATCAGGAACGCTCAAGCCTAAACTGTGAAATCCACGAATGAATACACACATAAACACTTGACCAACTATATGATCAAATGACCATACATGGATTTGCCTATTCTGTTGAAGCCCATCATACAGAATCTTTAAATCCACGGTAGGTCAACTTTGTCCGAGAGGGTTGATTTCTTATTTTCTATATAAAATGTATAACTTCTAGCCTAATACACTTGATCCAAAAAAGTTAACCATCCTGCATCCTGCATCAAAATATACAAAAAGTAGCATTTTGATTAATGTATAGTTACCATTCACCAGACCAAGTATATAGTAACCATACTGCAAACACTATTGCAATGTCCGTGGAGACGACGTTCGTATAATGTTGGTTTGTTAATTCCTTTACAAGTGACATTTAGAGACTACTTCTCCAGAGAAACCTTATTTTTTGGCCTGAATTTGATTAATCATTTGCCAAACAACAATTAGTAAATTTTCTGGGTATATTTTTCCGCTATCCATTTTTTTAAATTCACGTTAGGAAGTTAATAATATATTTATCTTTAAGGCTGTAATATTGTTAAGTTATTTATTATTTATCTGTGTTGTTGATTTTTAATGCATATTAAAGTTAATATAAATTGATTTTTATTTAACGAGTCTGTTATTCCCACAACATAAATACGGAGAGTTACATACAAAACACACAGACACTTTCACAGGCCAAAAAATGTATTTACCGATATACCCCTTTTTATCCAAATCCTCACCTTACCAGAGTAACCAACCTTACCAGAGTGTACAAAAGATAACCATAGTACCACGAAACCGGAGTACCACGCTACCAGAGAAGAGTCACCAGTCTTAACTTTTATATCATATATATTATGTCATACATTTTTACAAAAACATCCTTATAGCAACACATCAAAAGGACAAACTTTAATAGTTTAACACTAAGGCCCGACCGCTCGGTTTGCGTTACAATATTGTATATATTAAACAGATCATGAGTTGCCTAAATGCTTGCACTTTCACTATATCGGATTTTATTGTTTTATTGAAATTTATTTTGTTAATTATGATGCATTAATCACAATTGTATATTTACGCAATCCTTCGCACATTATAAAAGACGCAGAGTCAGCAATTGTAGCTATAGAATCAATAAAATGTGTAACGGCAGTTGTTGCATTTCACACTTTTTTTTTAAGCATGTATAATTGATTGAATTTTATACTAATTTAAGAATAACACCTTTTTTCAAGCTATACTACTACAATAAATGAAAAAAAAAAAAAATAAGAAAACCACATTAAACTTACCAGATGTGCCTGATAGCTATTTCAGAAAATGAGGCCATTTTAAGTAATTTTCCTTTAAAATAATTTAAATCTGTACGCATCCAATCCACCTTTGTCATAGGTTTAAACCTGTTTTCAAAAAGGTTCTCAATAAGACTAAGATATATATTATTAGTAATTTCACCATGACCCTATAATAGGCCAAAGATGTCTTTAAAAGGGAGATCGAATGCATGATTAACCGTATTTTCTGACGATTTAACAGAACATTAATAAAATATAAAATCATTAAACCATTAACTTGAAATGCAGCCTTCATTTCCAATGCAAGTCCTGTTGAGCATTTTAACAAAACGAAACAACATTAATCAAAATTGGAAGCTATTGTTTAATGAAAACAAAAATTGAATACAACTTTGCTTTGTGTAAAACGCAAGCTCAACTGCTAAGCTTACAAAATAATATCCGAAAGAAACAAAAGCTATCAAAAGCATATTCAAACTCATAAGTCAAAAGTAAACTGACAACGCCATGGCCAAAATAGAAAGGGACCAACAGATACATAAAAGTACACAAAATACAACATAGAAAATCAAAGACTGATCATCACGAACCCCATCAAAACTTGCGGTGATCTCAGATGATCCGGTGGGTAATCAGATCCTAGTTCATATGTGTCACCGTCGTTTTGCTTATTTTAGTACAAATGCACTCGTACAATGTACATTGGAAACTAAGAGAATAAGGTTACACGAAGGAAAGTGTAATCATTGTAATTCGCGATATATTATAATATGGAAATGGAACATTGTTTTCTTTCGACTGACAATTCTGAAGATGAAATGAAATAAAATTTTGGCAGAAAAATTACAAAAAACAATTTTACCTACGGATGTTTACAAAATAATGTTCAACAAACAAATAAACGTAGATGTTAATATAGCATAATAAACAATACTTACTCTGATAAACCTTGACGACATCGTATTGTAGACGTCAGAAAACGTCAACAAAGCTGCATTTACCGCGAAATAATGACAATTACATAGAGGAACATTTATGTATTTACGTTAAAGGAAACATTGTAAGGTGTGCATGTCCAATTGGCAGGTGTCATCTGACCTTGACCTCATTTTCATGGTTCAGTGGTCAAAGTGAAATTTTTAAGTTTTGCTCTTTTTTCTAATACTATATACAATAGGTCAACTATATTTTGTGTATGGAAATACTTTATGATGTACATGTCAGTCTCGCAGCCTTTATTTGACCTTAACCTCATTTTCACGGTTCATTACTTAGTGTTAAATTTTTGTGTTTTGGTCTGTTTTTCTTAAACTATATGCAATAAGTCAACTACAGATGTTGTATGTAAGGATTGTAAGTTGTATATGTCTGTCTGGCAGGTATCATCTGACCTTGACCTCATTTTGGTGGTTCATTGGTCAATATTAAGTTTTCATGGTTAAGTTTGTTTCTTAGACACTATAAGCAATAGGTCAACTATATTTAATGAATAGACTGATTGAAAGGTTTACATGTCTGCATGTCATCGTTCATCTTACCTTGATCTCATTTTCATGGTCAATGTTTAGTTTTATTAGTTAAGTCTGTTTCTTAGAACCTATAAGCAATAAGTCAACTATATTTAGTGTATTGAATGATTGTAAGGTTGACATGTATTTCTCGTTTGATTTATCTGACCTTGATCTCATTTTCTTGGTTCATGTTCTGTTAATGTGATAGTTGTAGTAAAGCTTTTCATTTAGGACTATCAACATAATAGCAATAGTTAGTGAAGAAGGCGAGACATTTCAGCGTGTGCACTCGTGTTGTGTTTTGGTCTGTTTCAAGTACTATAAGAAATAGGTCAACTATATTTGATGTATGGAATGACTATAAGATGTATATGTTTTTTGGCAGATATCATCTGACCTTGACCGCATTTTCATGGTTCATTGGTCAATGTTATTATATTTATATGTTTTTAAATCATCGTAAACAATAAGTGATAGGTTAACTATACTAATTGTAAGGTGGTGTATATGTGTCTGACAGCATTTAATTGACCTGCTTTTCAGTTATGCTTTTAGTTAAACCTTTTGGTTGCCGTTTATACTCATTCCCTGACCTTGAAGACTTTTAACACAACATCAATGGTCAGTAAATAGTTATCAAAGGTACCAGTCTTATAATTGGTACTGTCAGGAGCCTCTAGCCTTTGTAAGTCTTGTATTATTTTTAATTTTAGTTTCTTGTGTACAATTTGGAGTTTAGTATGGCGTCCATTATCACTGAACTAGTATATATATTTGTTTAGGGGCCAGCTGAAGGACGCCTCCGGGTGCGGGAATTTCTCGCTGCATTGAAGACCTGTTGGTGACCTTCTGATGTTGTCTGTTCTATGGTCGGGTTGTTGTCTCTTTGACACATTCCTCATTTCCATTCTCAATTTTAAGTATAAAGTTGAAGAGCATTGAGTTAATCTATGCCTGGGATAAGAAAACTCTTAGTATTTCGAATAATTCATACTTTGCAAACGGTTAATTTATAAAAATGACAATGTAATTGATATTCATGTCAACACCTAAGTGCTGACTACTGGGCTAATGATACCCTCAAGACGAAACGTCCACCAGCAGTTGCATCGATTCAGTGGTGTAAATAGTTTTTAAAGGTACCAGGCTTATAATTTGATACGCCAGACGCGCATTTCGTCTCCAATAAGACTAATCAGTGACGCTCATATCAAAATAGTTAGAAAGCCAAACAAGTATAACGTTAAAGAGCATTGAGGACCAAAATTCCCCAAAAGTTGTGCCAAATACGGCTAAGGTAATCTATGCCTGGGATAAAAAAGTATAATCATGTGAGCCATTTCAGCGTGTGCACTTAACGCCTATTGATTATTTCTACGGGGTTATAGGTGTTAACATTGTTTTGTTTTGTGCCTTTGAATTTATCAAAATATATATCAAAACCAAAAATATATGATGAAAATTCATAAGTTTATGGTTTGTTAAGTTAAATCATTAAATTTTATGACATCTATAAACTGATTGTATAGAAGTCGTTTCACATGAGATACCAGGTTGAAATATCATATATTTCAACCTGGTATCTCATGTCAAAAGTTTTCTATACAATAAGTTAGATGACAGTTAAAAATAATCGATTGAAAATGCATGTCAAGTCTTTAGTTAGAAATTTGAAAATTTAAATGAAAGATGTAGAGATATGTTTCAAAATAGATGCGCGGAGTTTACAGCCGATTGCATTGAGTGTGTAGATAATGGTAATTTATTTGGCTAGCTTGCTTGCTAGCTGAATCGTGAAGTCATTATTAGGTTAGGTAAACATACGCAATGCAATCGGCTGTAATCTTTTTGAATGTGTATCATATCTTAAGTTGCAAACAAAGTTAACGAATTCTGCCACAACAAATAAAAAATTTAACAAAATCGTATCTCCAGTTATTCCAACACATTTAGAGGTGCTAGTTGAAATTATGAATATCTTATGCGTACTGCTTATATCATTTGTATATG